CAATTTGGCGTTATAAATTTAAAATTCGCTTGAATTACTGTATGTTTATTATGCTAAAAAAATTCGGTATTTTTTTTATTTTTTTACCTTCGTTATCGTTATTATAGTAATGGCGCATGTGACACATGTGGCGCACCAGCCTGGTACACATTTTCCGTTTGCGATCGGGATATTTATTCTAATCGCGGCGCGTTAGATGACTACATGAAATTTTTAGCCACCCTGATCAGTGATGTAATTGGTTTCGTCCAATGGGAAGTGGAAAAAAATTAGTAAACCCACTTGAAGATACTTTATTGGGGAGTCGTCAAACGCTCAATTAAACAAGTACATACGTACTTTTTATTCAAATTGTTCAAGACTTATCGTTATCCAATTAAACACGTTAAAAAAAGGGTATTATAAAAAAAACTTTCGAAAGTCTATACTCCGTTAAAATTAATCAAAAATATCCTCAATATTTAAAAGTTTTATGAGAAACGAGAAACGATATTTATAAGAAATCGAATTTATAATTCATACTAAAATCTAGTATTTTTTTTTAAAAAAAAACAGGTCCAAATAATTTTTTATGCATATAACGGAGTTTAAATAAGTTAAAATTTTAATTATTAAAATTCTCAACTACTGAATAAAATGACTTAAAAACTGCCTAAAAGGATATGTTTATCGAATAGATTAAGTCGATGTGCGCAAAAAAAATGAGGGTAGATAAGTAAATGAGGGATTATATAATCTTTAACACTTCATAACACGGTGGGTTAAATTTGATAGTTTTTGTATAATCAGTTCGTCGCTATGAGACAAATCAATTGAGCCGCAACTAAGATGTAAATGTGTAGTAGTGATAGAGTTAACCAAAAATAACAAACCATATAGTATTAATGACCTGTAACCTGTATAACCCGCCGAGTCGGTCAGCTCGTGTCAACTGACTTGGGTAAGACCACTGCGTACACATGTTGTGAATCTAAAAGTTACTTTTGGTTTTTCAAGCCATGAGAACGGCCGATCAACTTCAAAGTATACAGCGGATGACGCTCCGGGAGGCAAGGTAGAATATATTGAGGCAAGTTCCGGAACAGTCGTGAGATCAATTTACTCTTAATGACAGGTATGAGTACGAAAAATTGGATGTCGTTAAATTATCTCTGTCTGGAATCGTATTAGTTTAACTAAGTTAATCGACGCACATTTAAGAAATTTTAATGTTGTCCATTATCTGAATCAAACTTCCCTCAACTTTAAAAATTTCGAAATCTATTTGTAATGTTTCATATGAGTTTTTGGGTTCTGGAAAGTTTTTCAAGTCTAAGAGTCGGTTAAGGAATCGACTGGTAGATATGGAGTCCGAATGGATTGTTGATAATGATGGATTTGGAATTATTTTATTTGCGGCTATAAATTCATTTCTTATTGAAATATCCTTTTCACTCATACTACCATCATATCTCAGTATATTGCACCAATAACTTAGCAATTCAAAACATTTGCTTGCTGTCGGTCTTTTGGAAGGGTCTGCATCCATACACCGGTTTGCCAAATCAATATAGATTTTTGGCGTTCCTCTTCCAAATTTAGGACGCAAGCCAAGGACTATTTCTATGGCAAGAGAAGTATCATGTGAGACCATCCCATGGGGTGGCTCTCCTGACGAAAATACAGTATAATCCCAAAGCTATAAATATTAGCAGCTGTTGTATATGATTTTAAATATAGAACTTCTGGAGCAATATAAGGTAATACACCATAGACTCCCTTTCCTTCATTAGCAAGACCACACAATCCCCAATCTGAAATACAAGGTTCAAAATCACTGAATATTAAAATATTTCCAATATGAAAATCACGATGTACAACTTCTTTTTTATGAATCAAAATTAATTCGTGAGCTATTTTTTGTAGGAAAACCAATTTTTTTTTCCAGTCAAGTTGTTCAAAATTTAATGTAAGGTATTGCTGAAGATTACCACTATCCGCAAATTTTAAAACCATCATAAAATTTTTTGTTTCCAGATCTCGAGTCAAACCATATAATTTAATGGATGAGTATTTATGATGTAATTCGATCTAAATTAACCATGATCTTGTAATTATACTATATATAACATTCAATATAAGCAAATTGAAATAAATAAACAAATGATACGTTACCTCTTTCTAAAAAAGCGTTTGTGTTATTTTTAGAATCATTAAACATTTTAAGTGCAACTTTTAATTCTGCTCCCTTTTCTCTCCTTTCTCATCTATATCCTTTCTTTCTCCATCTATCCATGTAGCTGTAAATACTTTACTGAATCCACCTTTCACAATAAATTTTATATCTCTTAATCTGTCAAATGGAATCCATTCTACTACTTTGTTGTAATGATTCTCAGAGCATAAAATGCTTTCGATAAGTTTATCGACTTCATAAATTCCAGCGCAAACCGAATTTACGGGATCACATGATCTACACCATGAAATATCTGTGTTATCCGTTTTGCAATATTTGCAAATTCCAAACATTACTTCGTTAGAACTTGAATTTTGAGTAAATGATGTGTACAACGTTAAGTATATGTTGACAGAATTGGTCAAATCACGAAGTTTATAATATACAAATTTGAAATTTGAAATCACTGGTTAAAATACGTTTTTCCATCTTTCCTTTAGTACAATATTGAACTATACAATTGCGTTAATATTGTTTGGTATTGTATTAGATTATTTGTTTTATATTTTATCATAATTTATATTCTTCCTTTTATCCTATTGTTATCTTTTTGACTAACTTTTTTATGATCAGACGATCAGAGTTCGAAGTGTAACATTTCACAAAAAATAACAAAAGCAATAACACTCACTATGCCACTATGCTAAAGAATTTCTAAAGAATTCCTAAAACAAGGCCTTTTATTTATAAGGCAAAATCTCTAACATATATTATACGTACGTACTCTGGAGCATATTTACGGAAAAGCCTTTTTAAAAGAAAAATAAGAAAAGCGCTAAACTAAGTAAAATTAACAAATGAAACCTGAATAATAACCGATATGTTATCGTTATGGACTGATACTTTAGAAATTCGGAATTGAAACAAACAGGCTTATATCAGATATAGTACGTACTGTACGCACGTACCTACGTATTTTATTTTCTCTATAAAGTATCTGATATGCCGATATCTCCACAGCGTCACCAGGATGCCCCAAAGTGCTGGTCATGTGACCAGTTTCACATTACGTACCGACTATGCGATATAAAAATTTACGATCATTGTAGGTTTCATACAGCGAAATACTTCCCATCACATTTTCTATATCGAACTATAGTTTATTGCAGAGTTGGTAGCGTAAGTTATATGTTGCGGCAATGAAGCCAGCACTTGGGCGGACTGCCCTGGTCGACTCAATTCACATTTTGTTCCTAGAAATTCAACAACGATTTACTTTAAAGATCTTTATATGTTTGGTTAGACTTAGGTTAGAATTTTTATGATTAAATATCGGTGTGGCTCCAATCATTTTGACATCGCATAGAGTCAGGGTTAAGGTTCGTATTTGATTAATTGCTGGTAATATCTGTTATAAAATTTATGGTTGTCATAAAAATTTGGCTTCAAATAAAGAAAAAGAATTTAAAAAAAAAACTTTCGAATGTCTATACTCCGTTAAAATTCAAAAATAACCTCAATATTTAAAGGTTTATGAGAAACGATGTTTATAAGAGGTCGAAGGTAAATGAATTATAATACTAAGCTCTAGTATTTTTTTTAGAAAAGAAAACCAGTCCAAATAATTTTTATATATAGAACGGAGTCCAAAATAAATTAATTAGTTTTTAAGTTAAACAAGTTAAATTTTACTCATTTTTGATTATTATAATCCTCAAATATTGAATTAAATGACTTAAAAACTACCTAGGAGGATAGTTACGTATTTATGAATCTAATTAAAATGGTTTTATTCTTACTCGTTGAATTAAACTAGCAAGCTTTTATTTTACGGCATTTCCATCTTGTCGGATGATTCGTGTTATATTGATTAAATGATTTAAACGAGTATTTAAATGTTGATTGGATATGTATCACGTGAGCAGAACTCGTCCTCACTACATAGTATTCTTTATAATGATTAGAAATATCTTCAAGCTTAAAATGCCTTTCATATAAACAAATATTCGATTACGACTTATGCAGATAATATAAAATAAGCATCCTCAATATGTCTTTGGGCTTTTTTTTTACATACAAGAGCGTTTAAAAGGGATTAAGATAAAATACAGTCAACCCTATAGTTGTTAGACGAAACCTTTTTCGTATGATGACGAAAGACGTAACCTCTGACGAAATTTGAAACCTCAAATTCTTCTGAAGAAAAACGAAACCTTAAACTTAAAATGACGAAACCCTATACTCAGAAAGACGAAACTCTAGTGCTTCCGCTAAAAAAAAAAAAAAAAAAAAAAAAAAAAAAAAAAATTTTCATTGAATTAACATTCATAATTTATTCAGAGATCAGTATTCAAAATTACATGTATGCCAGCTAATCCAATTCATTTTTCTGGACAACGCTAGGGTTGTTATAGACCGCTTGAAATAAACTTGTAAAAAAGCCATATTACCCATGGAATAACACAAATATTCACTGGCGCAAAATAAATTTGTAAGATCACAAAGTAAACACTAAGCGATTTCTCACTGGAACTGATATGTAGTATACTAGTATAATACAATATAGAATATTCATTTCTAACTCCCTTTAAACAATTCAAGCGCCTATTACACAATGTAATTTCTGTTTTTGCTAGTTTATATTTTTATACACATAATCTTCAATGAATTTCAACACCGTTTATTTGTATATTCGTCTTTATTAGTTTGTCACCCTTTGCAGTTTCGTTAGTTTCGTCACATTTCATCAGTTTCGTCACCTTTCGTTAGTATCATTACCTTTCGTCACCTTTCGTCATTTAAGTTTTTAGAAAATCTGGGACAGGCTATGTTAACTCCACGAATTTATCATTAAATTTATTAATAGTAATAAAAAAAAAAAAACTGTGGAAAATTTCAAATTAATTATTTTCGATCCAAACTGAAAATTGCGACCTTTTATTAAGCATGAATAATGTTTTATTTGCAGGAAATTTGATAAAAAATCCGCGAAAACCGCGCTAGAAAATTTTAATTGAAATTATAAAAAAGCTCACAATACACTACTGTAATAAGAAAAATTATTTTCACTATCTATATCATATATATATGCTTTATTAATTTTGTAATAGGACCAAATTTCACTTTAAGCAACTTCTGTATAATGAATAAAAAGAAAAATTGGCTAAAGATAAAAAAAAAAAAAGGCATGTCTAATGAAAGCAGTTAGAACAAAGTCGAAAAGAATTATAGTACACAAAAAAAAAGGATCGTTAAAAAAATTAAGATGCAAAATGTTATAATTTTATTTTCTTTAAATTATATTTCTGTATTTTAGAGTATTGTTAATATTTGAAATCCGAATACTGATACCGTATAGGCGCGTTATTTCGAGCCCCTGCGCGTTATTTCGGGACGCGCATGCGCAATAATTCGAATAATTATGCTAATTTTGAAAAAAAATTCAACTACTTTCTTGAATTATAATCTGATACATATGGAGGGGCGCGTTATTTTGAGACGCGCATGGGCGTTATTTTGAGTCAAATATGCCATTTTTAAAAAAATCGGAATTTCGAAATAACGCCCACGTGTGTTATTACGCGCCTATACGGTATTGGGTTTGAAATTCGGAGATTGACGTAACCTGTCCAGATTTTCTATTTGCTTTTTAATTGACGAAAGACGAAACTAGGTTTCGCGTTTCGTCAGCGCGAAACCTCGAGGTTTCATCTAACAACTATAGTCAACCCTCTACATAATCACTTCCTGTAAATCATCTTATAAAAACCTCTCTCTTAATCACAATATGATAATTATATTCATCAGTTTCTGGCTTGGCATGATAACATTATGCAGTTACTTATTATATAATTATAAAAACACTATTATTATTTTACTGTTCTTAAAAAAATTGTAATAGTGCACAAATTTATAATAATGTCCTCATGAGAACTCTGAGAACACTAATTTCGAACACTGGTCCAAAACAGTATCAGAAATCCACTGAAACAGCACTTCATTAGATAATATATTCTTGGATTACGCTGTCATGCAATGAAATATGAGGGGGCAAAGTGCTCGAGTGGTTTCATAAAGCCGCAAAAGGTATAGTCTTTTCGGTAATTTTGTATATCAACTTGGAATGAACACAATTATGAATATGAAGAAAGGGATAAAGTAGTTAATGAAGTCCGCTAAAGGTAGCGATTCCTTTAGACAAAACAGCCTTGGAATAATATGAAAACGCTAAAAATAGCTTTTTTAATGTACAATATGAAATTCGGATGATGTAATCAACCGAAGATGGATTATGTTACCGAAATGGAATAAGAACGACCAAAGACGTTCGTATTTGATAAGCATCGAATTGTATTATTTATAACTTATATACAGCCAGCTCCATAACGACTAATAGTTCTGGTCACTGTAAAATCATCTATGCCTTCTTGTCTTTGCGTATCACTCTCATTAAAGTTATCACTTTCTAAAAAATCAAGAGCTTTTTGCTTAACATGTACCTCATTAAGTTTTGCAAAATAGTTTTCAAAATCATTAATGTTATTTCTAATTTATGTTCCATTGTGGGAAGTTGCTTTATCAATTTTGATTTCTTCAAGTTCCAACCAGATATATCGAAACGCACGATTTGTATAATTGTTATCTTAAACCCACCCATCGCATCTAAAATATGCCACTCATCAGAATGAATACCCGGTGCGAAGTTATTATTATAACTACCACTTTCCCGAAAATTGTTGATATTATATGTCCAACAATTTCCGGTTGTATAGCAACCGTCAAATTTCATATCTTGTTCACATTTCATTGTTTCAGTACCGAGAGCATTTTTTATATAATAATTACCTCCAACTTGAATTCCAAATTTAGGTACTGCTACACTGATTTGTCCCTTAATTCCCTTGTTTTTTTCACGAATTGTTGAAACCTTCATTGTTTGATTGGGTTGCTGTGGCTGTGTATTAACTTTAAATGCAATCATGCGAGGTATACTATCGCTATGATTTTTTGGAGTTGGCGAAAATTTAATCACAACGGAATCTAGAAAATAACCAGTACCAACTCTGCAAAGCTTTTGCGAAATTTCACTAAGCATACGTCCGACTCCACATTCTGTAAGATTAACTGAACACTTTAAAACTTTGGAATATTCTTCATTAGGAACAGAGATAACTTTTGCATTAATAATAACAGATAAATAAAAGTCTTGAAAAACCATTTGTTCTTCAGTAGTAGCTCTGACCATTGACGTAACTCTAATATTTTTAAAATCAATATTATTATTAACGACAGCAGGATCCCTGTCCAAGCGTAAATATTCAGAAGCTTCTAATAATTCGTGTTCTTCAGTAGTAGCTCTGACCGTTGACGTAACTCTAGAATCAATATTATTATTAACGACAGCAGGATCTCTGAGTTGTTCATTATCTATATCAATAATTGACTCATCAATTACGAAATATTCATAATCTTTTGATGATAATTCGTATGAGTTTTTTGGTTCTGGAAGGCTTTCCAAGTTAAGGAATCGACTAAGAAATCTACTGGTGTATATGGCGCCCGAATGGATTTGTGAACTTGATGAATTTAAAATTATTTTATCTGCAACTTCAAATTCATTCCTTATTGAAATATCATCTTCTCTCTTACTACCATCATATCTCAATGTATCGCACCAATAATTTAGTAATTCATAACATTCGTTTGCTGTCGGTCTTTTGGAAGGGTCTGCATCCATACATCGGATCGCCAAATCAATAAAAATTTTTGGTGTTCCACTTCCAAATTTAGGACGCAAACCGTCAGCTATTTCTATAGAATTATGCGGAACCGTCTCATGGGGTGGTCTTCCTGATGAAAATTCAGTCATAACAATCCCAAAACTATAAATGTCAGCAGCTGTTGTATATGGTTTCCCATATAGAATTTCTGGTGCAACGTATGGTAATACACCATAGACTCCTTTTATTTCGTTTTTCACATTAGTGGGCTTACACAGTCCCAAATCTGAAATACAAGGATAATTATTATCACATATTAAAATGTTTCCATCATGAAAATCACCATGCACAACTCCATCTTTATGAATCAAAATTAATTCGTCAGCTATCTTTTGTAAGAAAAACAATTTTTTTTCCAGTCAAGTTTTTTAAAATTTAATGTAAGGTATTCCCGCAGATTCCCACTATCCGCAAATTTTAAAGCCATCATATAATCTTTTGTATCCGGGTCTTGAGCCAAACCATATGATGAAGTTCGATCTAAATTAACCAAGTTCTTGTAATTATACTGTATATAATATTTAATATATTAAGTAAATTGAAATGAATAAACAAATGATACGTTACCTCTTTTAAAAAAGCATTCGTAATATTTTCAGAATTGCTCAACACTTTAAGCGCAACTTTTAGTTTTGCTCCCCTTTTCTCTATATCCTTTCTTTCCCCATCTATCCATGTAGCTGAATATATTTGACTGAATCCACCTTTCCCAATTAATTTTATATTTCTTAATCTGTCAAATGGAATCCATTCTACCACTCTGTCGTAATGATCCGCTGATTGTAAAATACTTTGTAAAAACTTGTCAATCGCATCATTTCCAGTGCGAACCGAATTTACGGGATCACACGATTTACACCACGAAGTATGCGAGTGATTCTTTTTACAAACTCCGAACACTACGTCATTATTAAAGCGTTGATCTTTAAATATACGGTATAAAAAAACCAAAAAGAAAAAAAATAACACCAATTCTACAATACGTTGACAGAGAATTTGGTCAAATGACGAGGTTAAAATATACATTTTAAAATCTGTAAAAAGAGAATGTAAATGAATAAAATGGAAATGCTTAAATATTTTTTTTATTATTACTATTGTATAATATCATACTATGATTTTGTTAATATTGTTTACTATTGTTTTATTATTTTTTTTTCTATTATCGTTCTTTTGGTAAATTTTACTTTTTTTTGATCAGACGATCACAGATGTAACATTTCACAAATAAAGCAATAACATTATACGAAAGAATTCCTAAAGAACCCCCAAACAGGGTTCTTTATTTAGAAGGCAAAATTTTTATCATATATGGAAACGCTTTTTTTAAGAGGGCAATGAAAACTCAAAAATCAATAACAAATTACCCAAAACAGATCTGGTTAACGTGACGAATCAAAAAAACTTTTTTTCTTTATTTAATATTTTATTTTTCTCTATTACTAGATGCCGAGAAAACCATGTGATGCTAAAATATCACAAGGGAATAACTAGTAATTTTTTTAAGTCGCATCGCATGCAATAAGTATAAGCTATAGTGTGCGATGATTTAGCATCCTCGGCATCTCTAGTAGGAGTGCTGCTAAGGGAATACTTGTCATCGGACTATCAATTATATTTTGTGTACAGTATGGAAAATCTATCATAATGATAGATTTTCCATAGACGCACAAAATATAATTGTAAGTCCGATGACAAGTTTTCCATTGGCGGTACTAGCCCTCTACAGTATACCGATATTGTTCAACGTCAATTAATCTCAATTAATCGAAATGATTGAGCAACATCTTAAATCGCATTGAGAAATCTGTTTGAAAACAACTTGGACGATGAGATTGTCATCGTTGTTGTTCCTAGAAATTCCGATAATAATTTATTTTAATGAACTTGACATGTTTTTGCTAAGACTTGAGTTAGAAATTTTAAATATGATTATGAAACATAAAACCGATTCCAAACTCTACAGCCTTACGTAAGTACTTATCCAACATCACGCCAGATGACAAGTACTGTACGTGTATGTAACTAATCAAAATGCTGTCCTAGCCCTATGTGATATCGGCTGACGCTAAATGAGTCATCGGTGAAATGATTGTCGAAGGCGGAACAGATCTTTTTAAATACTATCCTAAAGACCTAATTTTTATTTGCTCATTACATAAGTGACACATAACACAACAACAAAAAAAAAAAAAAAAAAGTATTAGTTCCATGGAAAAAATATAATTTTGATAGCTGTTTCACGAAAATTAGCCATATTTCGATCTTTTTAAAATCCTAATTTTATATACTAAATGTGAAAGTATCGGTAATATGTGTAGTGTCAAAACTAAGATAAGGTGGATATCTCAGGAATTTCCCGAGAATTGGGATACTCAACACATATTAATAACTTTTTTTTTCAAAATAATCACATAAATTTATCATCACTTAATGTATCTCTCATGGTAGCCGCATAATCGAAGTAAACGGATCCCTAAACTATAACATGTGACATCAGTGCGTCATTTTTTTTGATCTTTTGGACATAGTAAATGTCGAACCAATCTACTCATGAGGGGGAGATTGGTTCAACATTTATTTACATATATGTAAATGTTAAAAATGATGATAATGGTATGTACGTAATAATAACGACACAATTGACACTGTACCACGGATTTCACGGATCGACTCATATTACGTTGATCTACCGTAGAAAAATCCATAGAATCTTGCAGATATAGATTTTTCTAAACAACAATTATCGTTTTTGTAACAATACTAACACTGTAAAACTCCGAAATGATCCGGCGGTAATCACCGTTTAATATTTATTAATTGCATGCAAAGATGAAATTTTTTTAAACAAAGAAAATTTTCATATTTTCATACTGTATATAAAATTGAATAAATTTTGATTACATAATCCAGTAATCATTCATAATAATAATAGAGTCACAAACTAAACGTCTAACTTTTCATAGTGATATGATAGTAATTAATGGATTATAACATATTTGGCAAATTTTTACATTCGGTTTTTTATCGTTGGAGTGTTAATGCGGAATGTGAGCGGAAGTGAATTAATCCCGCGTGATATTGATGGCAAAAATCACTCAAAATCTAATTATGGAAAACAATATAATTCTGTAATTGATCAAAAATTATAAAAAGGATCAGACGAACATCATTTTTATCAAAATTTAGATAATTTGTGATAATAAAATTAGCATTTAACGTTAATACGGAAGATAAACCATCAAAAATCAAGAAAAGAATGTCGATGCCAATTGAAGAATTCAAACCTCATTTCCCTCCAAGAATAACACTCCAAGACATTTATACAGAAATTTTATCCAATAACAATAGGCATGGCAGGAGAGCAACAAAGCTCCCAACAGCCTTTGACGCATACAAGCTCTGCTTTCGTCGAGAACTTGAGTTACAAAGTTATAATGCTTTGGAACAAATGATTACATCTTTGGCTATTAATTCATGGGCTAAAGAACCAGCCGACGTTAAAGAAGAATATAAAAGATTATTGACTGAAGCGAAAACTTTGCAGTAACAAACTTTATAAATTTATTATGTAAATATATGTAGTTAATTTAATAATATATATTATGGTATGATGACATATGATGACAGTCATTATGATAGAAGGATTCATAATTGCCATTCAAATCCTAGATTACTATCGCTACGTATGTGAAGTAATTTATCTGTCTAAAATTTTGTTAATAATACTTGTTTAAGTAAATAGTGTATATTGAGTTATTTTTATAGTTATAGACAATATATAGATATAATTTTGTAAAATTTTCAGAAATTAAAATGGAAATTGATTTTTTAAGGATTTGGGATTTGTACAGTTTTGAACGGGTAACTATGGGAACGAACGAAAGTTTGAACGGTTTTGCAAATAGCCAATTTTGGTAATTTTAACATATATAGCTAGTTATTATAAAATATGTAAACTATATGTAAACAATGGTTTAAAAGGAAATTACCATCTACATAACTTGTCGACATAATTATGACCTTATCGACACAACATTAGTATATGGTAGGATTAGGTTACGTCAGTAGCAATTTCCTTTTTAAAATTCATTCATTTTTTTTCCCCCAAAGTTTAGTCATTTTGCTCATATTTAAATATTTAAATTTTTAATACGTTAATGACTATACATATAGATACTTAATAAATCTGACAAGTTTTATACATAAATTGCAAATCAATTATATCAATTGTATATATTAACTGGTTAAGTTGGCCGGAAATTAATTCCGTCACAAGGGTTACATTAACGTGACACTGTTGTACTATAGAAGGCATTGGTGATTCTTAATGTACTGTATATACTGTACAATAAAATGGTTTCTATATGCAAATAAACGTCACTCATCCCCTTTTCGATTAATCAAAATCACAAAAAAACTTAACCATTCCTGGAGTTTAACAAAGCAAATTTTATATTAACGTTAACAATAATTTTTTTTTTGGAATACGTACTTAAATAGAAAATTACCTTTTCTGGTTATGAAAACAAAGTGAACTAAAATAGTTCGAGTTATTATATATTGCACTTTGTATCGGAAAAATTATGAATGTTTCTTTAGAAAAATTGTATGTCTTCCAAAGATTTCCATGAAATATTTTCCGGAGTTATCTTTTCATAAGAAGAAGAAAGTATAAATATACCATGAATTTGTTCCCATTTTTCTCTGCTCAGATTTGAATTTGTAGCTTAATCAATCGTAATGTCTGAAGAGCCTCAAAAAATCAATAGACCTCCTTTCCCTCCACGCTCACTCAATTTCTCTGAAATTGTTAATGAATCTTTAAGGAAGTACAAAACCGGAAAAAGTTCAAAAACCCCAAACGCATACCTTTTATATCGTAAGGAGTATACAGCTACGTTTAAAAGTTCTAATCTTGGGCATATTTCGACGCTATCGAGTGAAGCGTGGAATTCCGAACCGCATGAAATAAAACTGGCATACAAAAAATACGCAGAACAAATTAACGAGATTGTGAGAAAAGAAATGCCGTACTGTTTTGTCGCCAGCAAAGCCGATCGAAGTTTAGAAAACTCTGACGACGATTTCGAAACCGTGAATCAATCGAATCAAATGAATCGAAATCAAATAATTATGTCGAATCAAATAACTCGAAGTAATACAAACACAAACGAAGTAACGGTAACCCCCGAAGATCCTAAATACGCTTATTATTATTATTATATGCTTTAAAAAAAAAAAAAAAAATTAAATAGAAAAATATGTAAGGAAACTTATGTATCATGTAATAAAATTTATACATATTTGATAGACAATTTTCGATAAAAAATTATGCACTGCATTAGCTTTATAATATGCAAATATGTAGTCGAATAATTTTTTTCGATTTTATATCATTTTTTTCTTCATATATATATACATTTTCATTTCGTCTTTTAAATTTTAAAACATCTGGGCACTATTCTATAAAATTTAAAGCATATAAGTCAATCTTAATAAAATACATTTTAACTTTGCTCTCATAAAAATCTGGTTATATATATCATAGTACAGTAACAACTGATTAGTAATTATATATAAAAGTGCAATATATAAAATAATTAAAGATACCATTGTTATCTTTGATTAAACATTGATTGCAGCAACAAACAAATGTTTTTATTGAATGAACGATGAATATACTGCATTATAGTTATTATTTGGTTTAGATTGTTGTAGTACCACATACTAATTATCGAATGAAATTGCAAAATTTATATTGGTTTAACCGTTTAACATCACATACAATAATCGCTCGTATAGGTTCTCTTAATATATATATAATAAATTTATGATTCGCGTTCATTTAAATTAACTATTAGCTCTCTTCAAATTAAGTAACTCTCATGAGTATTATTTCACGTAAATAAGGTATGCCTTTTCGAAACGCATATGAATCACGACTCGTCATCTAACAAATGTAGTAAAAAAAACGTACGTACAAGAAATTTGTCTCAATATATTTTACGTTTCCTATAATTCTATTTGGTAAAAGTTCATAGCGAGCGATAATGTAACAAATCTTAGAATGTAACTAGTTTATTTTTTCAAACTAGAGTGGTTTCAAACAAAAGTAGATATTGATTTTTCTAGAGCAGCATATACATTGAGATGGTATTAATAAATTAGTTTTCGAGGAATAGGTATAATTTTTTAACGAATTATTATGAGATGACGAAATGTGAAATCTAACTTTCTGAAATCGTTCTGTAAAAGACAACTCTCGCGAAGACGAAACTTCTGACTAATGTTTCTCATCGAAATTCGCTTAGTAATCATCTAAATACACCATTCTTAATAAATGGTCGTAAAATTCATTGACTTGTCAAACTAGATTCGTCGAAAACCTTTGCTAAAGACGAAGCTCTTTGGGAAGAATATGAACATGAATAAACGAAGGAAGAAATTATACCGTATTTGTCCGTAATAACGCGCATCTTCGCGTTATTTCGAAGCCCTGCGCGTTATTTCGGGACGCACATGTGCGATATTTCGAGTCATTTTGACAAATTTTAGTTACTCAAGCACTTATATGGTTGATATATAGTATATATATATATTAAGGGGGCGCGTTATTTCGGGACGCACATGGACGTTATTTTGAGTCAAATAACCGTTTTTTGAAAAAATGGCTGTTTCGAAATAACGCCCATGTGCGTTATTACGGGCAAATACGGTAAGGTAAGAAAAAAAAGTGTGTGGTTAGTAGGCGAGGCCAATAAACTAAAGCGAAATCTGAATTTCATCATCGTGTATTGTAATTGTTAGATATGGCGGCTAGTAGGCATTGAAATATGGTTTAATAAAAAAATATATATGTGAAAGGAATAATTCTTTTGTGCAAATAAATTATTCCAACGATTAATAAAAAAAATTTCATTATGAAAATAAAACTGGCAAAGATAAAGCTCAAAATTCACTAATGAAAAAATATAACTAAATCGGAAAAGACCACTAAAACAGTGAATATTCATATGTATTCCTTCAATGAAACAAGTATTATTATTTTCAGATTACACCTTAATCAATAATCTATTTAGAAACTATTCATGTATAAAATTATTCACAACTTCATTAGCTTTACTACCATTCGGTTTTTTGCCATTCATTATTTTATTTCGTCATTAAGATTTTTGATTGATGAAAGATGAAACTAGATTCGTTAACGTGAAACCTCTAGCTAGCTCTTCATTTAATAAGATATACACCAAAAAAAATTGTAAAATGTGTTAAATGCCAATTATTTAATCTAAAAAAAGCAAAACCTTTTATCATTTTTCATTCTCGATTTTTTATTTAGTTAAATAATAAAATGTCATCAAATTAGTATGCACTGTACTTATATTATAATGCTCTGCGGTTATTTAATAATATCATCAGGAAAATTAAGTAAATGTAAATTTGCAAAAGTCTGTATTTTTGCAGAAATTTGCAAATTTTTTAGAGTTTGAAGTTTTGCACAGAACTGCATTTAATTTCTGCATTTATAGTTTTTGCGCAGATTTTCATTTGTTTCATTATTTAATTTTTGCAAATCTTCGCAGAACTGTACTAAAAAAATTTTTCTGATGATAAAATTAGAGTCTAATAGTAGTGCTTGTATGCACGCTATGAGTTGTTCGTTACGTATGGCAAAGTTATTTGTCGCGAAGACTGATCTTAAAGATTTTGATGATAATCATTCCGCCGACAATTATTTAAATGAGGCTAAAATTGTGTCAGTATAATAGTTTAATGCAAAGAAAGATTGTTATAAACCACATTCTTCTTATATATAGTACAGTACATTTTAAAAGTATCATCTCGACCCTAAAGAAGGGTAAATTCCTCTTGCTATAAATAAATTAGTAATAATAATCCTCCGTGATCTTAATATAGTGATCGGGGATTACTTTTAAACGTAACTGATTATTACTCAATACACAATAAATATAATTTTTATTATTTCATATAAGTATTTTGTATGCTCTCATAAACTTAGAATATTTGTTATAAAGCTTTATTTAAAAAATTATAATTTTGTATGTACATACATTCTTCGACGGGTTGAAAAGTACTTTTTTGGCTTAAAAAAAAGAAAATTTTTGAAAACATATAGAACTTTCGAATTGTAAACATAGTCATATAGTTATTGTGTGTAATCAAAACAATAGTTGAGAAAGCTTTGATCATATTCATAATTAAATAATGGAAATTCATAAATATCTGGGCACGGGTAACTATCGAAAAAAACTGGCATGTAGTTATTTGTAGGATAAAAATGTAAAATCGATGTATAATCAGTATCGTTTATATTAGGAATAAAATCGTAATTGGTTTCCTGCGTTGTGGAATCCAAAATCTGTGTCGAAATAATTTCGTTATTAATTTGAAATGAATTTGATGTTATTGTGATTTCTTCGTGTTGATTTAAATCCGGAGTATGTTCAGTATTAGCGACTCCATAAGACATGTTTAGTCCATCATCATTTGTTTTGGGGCTTCCTATGTTCTTATTTTCGTTAACAAAGGAATAAGGGATCCTCTCTTTGACTCCTTTTTTAATATCGTTAGCACGCTGCTTGTAAAAATTTTTCACATTAATCGGCTCGTCACCCCACGAATTTTTTGCAAGTTGCGAAATTCTTGTGGCAGCAAGATTTCTGCCTTTAACTCTATTAAATTCAGCTATGTATTGAGATCTATAGAGAAGGAATGCGTTTGGTGTTCTGCGGATACTACCTTCTTCATGTTTTTTTACTGATTCGTCAATAAGTTGCTGAACATCAAGATCCGGGGGAAACTGTGGGCGAATTTTCGAGTAATGATCATTCGAAATTTTGGCGTTATTTCGTCGAGTCATAATTTAAATATATTTTTTTGTCGAGATATGAACTTGCCCACATTTTTCACGATAATGAAGTGGGGGTTTAAATAATTTTTTTTCTTTTTTTTTCCGAATTATCGAAAATTAATAAAAATCTTTTAATTGATACGGAAATATGGAACATTTCTTCTTTTAAATTCCACGTCGTACGTACAACCGAAATTCATCTTTGTAAACCTTTTTTTTTTTTACAAAAAAATAAATCTATGCTTTGGCTGACATTTTAGTCTTTTAATATCATAATAATAGGTACATACTCCGCTGCTTAAACAATGGAATATACCGTAAAATAAACTCTAATGCCCATTGTTTTTCAAGCACTAACCACACACATCTTACCTTGTGGCTCAAATATTCGGAGTCTGAGCCCGCCACAATAATTGTTAAACAAAGTTACGTATCTGACTATTGAATCGTTATTAAATTGTCGATCATGAATTGTCCGATTAATGCTATGAATTTAGGATCACAAGAAATCTAAATGTTCCGGTTATGTGTTATGCTGTCATCTTACATTTGTTCATTTCATGAATGCAGGTGTGGCTTTTTACGTACGTACGTACATACCTGAGTACCAGGTACGCAAAATAAAATTTCAATATTGTATTATGATTTCAAATGTCGGTCATTTCATTCAAACCCTAAATCGGGTTAAGTGAATATTATAATCACTGTCATAGACGATCAATAATTATTTTTCTCACAACAATTAAGTAAAATGGTCTCGATTTAGGTGAGAAATCATTCAATATCGATATTGCAACAGCAAATATTTAAATCTGCGAAAATAGGGGAAGTGGCGAATCAGAGATCAACGAAAATGGATGTTTCTTCGATTATCGTTGGCCACTGCTTATTATTACATAAGATTCGAGTATTACACACTATCCTTATCAACTGTTTCTTGAATAAGATCTGTGAATATAATTATGTACTAATTTTAATATAATATATCCCAAAATACAATACCTGGTTCTTCACACAGTACCCACATAAATTTGATTCTAAATCAACTTTATATTTTAATGTGTGAGAAAAAATTATTAATTTCTTGTATTGAATTAAAAAAAATAATAAAAAAACAAATTTTAATTAGATGATTACATTCTTTTTAACGCCGTTTTCTATATGTTAATGACCAACCATAATTATTCCATTATCACCCATGAATGAAATAATAACAACTTGCTTTACTGTTACCAATTTAATCAGAATATAATAAATTACGTTGTAGATCTGCAGCTTGAAGCAAAGTGAAGTCGTTGGTGCTTTCACATGGTAAAAATATAGTATAATTTGGACAATTTAGAATTTCTGGCCATCCAAAAAAACAAATCTTTTATTTTAGGATAATCCGAAAACCAATTTTACTCCCGACACACTGTAGTCTCCTGATTCTGCCATTTTCCTATTTAACAACCGACCTACTTCAAGTAGGCTCGTTCTACTGTTACGATGATATCTGACTTGCTATTTTCTGGGAACATAACTTCAGTTCAATTCGATTTGCTTAGCTAAAATTACTCATAATATATTCTGGTCCTTTAATTGAATTTATTTCGGCATCTTTGGCTAGCCGAAATTTACCGATGCTTTTCGATTAACATAATCTGTTCTAGATTTTCTAAATGCGTAATAATTTTTGCCCGTTTCTACTTCGACCCTATAAAAAAAGTTTGTACGGTTATTGTAGGCTTTGTCCAAAAAAAAATGTTCGGAACGGAGTCGATTTTCCGAACAGGATTTATGTTTGTACTGTTTTTATATCGACGTTTGTACGGGACGTAAAAAATATAAAATTTTTTGATTGAAAATTATCGTATAAAAAACGTATAAAAAGCGCATTCATCCAATAAACACCCTTTAAATGTTCGAAA